TTTTTGTCTTTGAAAAAATATTTTATTTATTTATGTCTTTTTAAATTTTTTATACTCTCTTAAATTAAGTTTTCAAGAAGATTAGAAAATATGAAAAGTGAGAAAGTTAAAGATAAAAAAGAATAAACAATGACAAAAATCTAACTCAATCACTTTTACTTCTAGCACAATCCGCAGCTCCAATAATTAAATCAATTTGACCAAGAAGTTGTTGCATATTTTTATTTAGTTGAATTTCTTTTTCGAGTCTTTTTTGCATTTTAAAGAACATTTCATCAAAAACAACACTTTTACCAAGGTCTTGAGCATATAAGTCTAATAATTGAGACATAACTTCAACAAGAATTTTAGTATGTAATGGGCTTGGAAGGGTATTTATTAAGAATGTCATTAAAGGCTCTAATGTATTTTCATCACGACGGGATAATGCAATTTTCAACCCATTTCTATATAAAATTTCTCTTATAACAGAAATAATAATAGTTTCATCTTTTGTTGCTAATGCTTTATCAAGAGCATCATCATAATCAAATTTTCTGATATTTACAGAAATGTCGCTTTGAGTTTTATTAATTTCTGGTTCTTTTTTTTCTTCTGATGTTTGGGTTTTACCTTGGAAGAAATATTTTGCTGATGAGGCAGCATGATTCTCTGTTTGTTGTGGTTGTTGTTTTGCAAATAAAATAACTTCTCCATTTGTTAGTCCTACAGAAAAAGCAGTAGAGTCTTTGTTCATATCAAATGAAAGAATTGGTGATGGATAGACAATATTATGTAATTTACTATAATTTGTTGTTTCATAAACATTAATTGAACAGTCTAATGATGAAGAGAATAATCTATTCCCATCAGTATCAAAAAGAATATTAGTTACAAGGTTTGTATGATAACTATAATCTGAAATTTGTGAACCTGTAGTAGAATCCCATACTGTTATCATTTGTCCATTAGCAACAGCAATTAAAGTACCAACAGGATGAAATACAATATCTTCGACTGGATTTTTATGTTTAAATACATTAATTGAATTCTTTGAACGTGTATCATACAAAACGACTGTATGATCATAGGATCCAGACGCAATAAGAAATGGATTTGTTGGACATTGAACTATAGAACGAACAGAATCTGTATGATTGGTATATGAACCAATGACTGACTTAGTAGTAAAGTCCCATGCTTTAACTACCATATCATCTCCACTAGAATATAACATTTCTTTACCCCAACAAACAGTTCTTACTGCAGCAGAATGACCAGACAATGTCCTTAGTAATGTTTTATTAGTTGAATCAAATACACGTACTTTACCATCTGCACATCCAGTACTGATTAAGGCTCCATCATTTCTATATTCACAAGTATAAACAAAATCTTTATGTCGAGTAATTACTTTAGGTTGACTTTCTGTACTTGAATGAACAAACACATTCATTCCACTACATACGGCAAATGTTTGTTTTTGAGAAGGAGAAAATCTAATACATTTAGGAGAAGGATATGTATAAGAAGAAACAGGTGTAAAATCATCCCAATACTTTCCCTCTAATTCATTATCTCTTTTTTCATGAGGTGCTTTAAACAATGTGAATTGAGCTCTTCTCATGAACAATTATTGTCTATTTAAGAAATAGAAAAAACCTATTAAAACCCTTTTTATTTTCACTTTATTTATATTTCTTTCAAGCAAATATTTTATGTTATTTATTATTATTTTTTGTTTTTATAAAACAAAAAAAAAAGATTGGGAATTGTAAAATATTTTGTTATTAATAACGAGCGGCAGTTGAATAAATCCATGTAGCAAGACCAGGAATACCGATAAATGATTCAGACTTTGATCTTAGTACAGCCATTACAACAAAGAATAATTTGATTACAATATAACTGAAAAGAAGAAGTAAATATACTGTTTGGAATGCATGACCAACAGCAAGACATAAAATCAAAAATGGTAATGAAACTATAAAAAAAACAGCGAATAAGAAGATTGATTGAAGTGCATATGCTTTACAATACGAATTTGTTTTTTCAGTATGCAATATAACAATTCCAGTTAATGCAGAACAACTTGCTAAAAATGATTCGATAATTAATGGAAGTCCCATACTAGTACTTCCTGATCTAGCTTCAAAAGATAAAACATCATCTACATCCATATCAATATATTCAGCCATTTCTCAATACAATTATTTTTAAGTTCTTTTTTTAAATTTATTTTACTTTTATTTTTGTTATTTAAAAAAATGTTTTTCTATACTTCAAAAAACTGAATCTTTTTAGAAAAATCAAATCTTAAGAGATTCTTATCACTGTTAATTATTCAGTTTAATGAGTGACTCTGAAAAGCCTGTTATTATCCAAGAAGAACAACCAAAAGAGGAGAAAGAGGATGTTGTAAAAATTCAAGAAAATAATGATGATGATGAACCAATTGATATTGAACCAATTCATACAACAACCACACAAAACAATTGGCAAAAATTCCCATTAGTCATTATAGTTAAAACTGCTCTTTGGGTTAAAGAAAAAATTCAGCAAACTATTGACCTTTCTATTTATCTCTTCATTACTCCTTCAAAAATAATTGTTTCTTTTATGCAAAAGCCACTAGTTAAAAAAATAACTTCTGGAGTAACTTCAGTCGCCTTATTTGGTGTATGTGTTTATGCCTTTGGCTATATCCCATTCCAATATATCAAACAATCAAAAGCATTACAATTCCACTAAATTTACTTTTTTGTTTAAGAATGAAAAAGGGTTTATCTTTTTTTTTCATTCTCAGAAAAAAAATCTTATTTTCATAATGAGAACTAAATCATCTAGAGTAGTTTCTTTTCAAACTGAAATCACTAAAGATTCACTCAAAGAAACAAAACCTAAAAAAACAACACCACTAAAAAGTCAACAGAAAGGAGAAGCTAAAAGTGATATTGATGATATTTTCAGTGAATTGAAAGTAAAGCAAAGAAAAGCTGCTGCAGAAAAACAAAAAGAAGAAGAAGAAAAAGCTAGAAAAAAAGAAGAAAAGGGTGGAAAGAAAAAAATTAGAAGAACTGAAGAAGGATATCGTATTTACACCCTTGAAGAACTTGGACTTGACAAAAATAAATTTGGGGGAAATACACCATTATGCCCTTTTGATTGTGACTGTTGCCATTAATTGATTTTTCTTTTGTGAATGTTTTTAATTTTTTTATTAAAATAAAAGAGTCAATAGTTAATACAGTGTTAATAAATTAGTTAAAAACTCATTGTTTTAAGCAACCACACATGAAGTATTATTCTCTACCGGATGAAATGAAACCCATTCCCTAATAATTATGTCAAATAAGTGATTAATATTTGTATAATCTAATGCTGACGTTTCCATAAATAAGCATGAGATTGAATCTGAAAATAATTGTCCTGACTCATAAATGACTTCACGTTGTTTTTCATCACATTTATTACCAACAATAATAATAGGGATTGTTTTAGAATGGTCTTTTCGTAATTCATAAATACGATTTAAGTATAATGGTAAATGAAGAAAAGAATTTTTGTTTGTGACAGAATACATGACAACAAATGCATCTCCTTTCATTATTAGATCATCGTTTTGAATTGTCATTGTTGCATTTGTATCAATAACACCAATGTCATAATCAGTTCCATCAACTGAAACTCTGGAAACTTGTATCTGTTTAGGATGTATTGAATATTCAGACATAAATACATTTGTTGCAAATCGTATAGCTACACTACTTTTTCCAACACCATGATCACCTAAAAGAACAACAGATATTCTTTTTATTGTTGAGTTCATTAATTAAATAAATAAGTTCTCAGTCTTAGTGATAATATAATATTCTAATATAACATAAAAATATCAAATAAATTATAAAAAATGTTATTTGAATTAACCAATAATTTTTTTAATTTCTTTTGCAAATTTAGAAGGATAATCAACAGTTTGAGTAGTCATATCGCTATACAATTGTTTAATTTGTTTTCTATATCTCTTTTTGATAATTTCTTTTTCCTTTAAATAGTCCCTCATTTGTTCAGTTTGAATTCTTTTATTAAATCCTTCCAATTTTTTTTGTTTTTCTCGTAATTGTTTTAATTCACGAACCTTTCGTTCTTTATTTTTATTCTTTTCATTAATTTTTTCTGCCTTACCAACAGCTATTTTTTTTGCTTCTACTTCAAACTTCTTCTTTTTTAAATCATCAAGTGATTTTTTTGTTTGTTCCTTAATTTCTGAAGGTTTAACTGTTTTATTTGATGAAGCTACATCTTTCTTTATTTTGTTAATAGCCATTTGAATTGGATTAATTGTTTTTGTGGTATTAACAGGAGTAGTAGTATTATTAATGGTATTGTTAACAGGAACAGTATTATTAGAAGAAGTCACATTAGGTTGTGCAGGGGTAGTTGTAGGAGTAATAATACCATTAGAAAGGACAATGATTGCAAAGAACAACAACATTATGAATTATAAGATTTTCTTTTTTTATTTTTCTTATTTGTTTTTTAGATTTTTATTTTTGTAAGTTCAATGAATTTTTAAAACTCAATACAATTTCTTTTCTTTCATGCAACAACAAGACTTCATTGAAATAGTATTTAGAGCATATAACACAAAAACAAATGGATGTAGAAATGTAAGAATAAGAATTCCTCAAGACTATCCTATTGAATTTGATCCTTTAGATGATCTTAAGTATTTAGAACAAACAAAACCAAAGAGAAGAATGGATTTCCTTTCGAGACCTCCAATTTGTTTTAAAGGAACAAGCTCTACTGCACGTTTACAAACAATTGGTGAAACAACATCATTATTAATTTGTAATAAACGATTTGCATTAAATAGAAAATCAGCGTTTAGTTATGACTTAGTGTTTGTTTTTTAGAATGAAATGCTTTGTAGAAGGCATTAACGTGTAGAGAAAATAAAAAACAAAACATTGTTGATTCTATTGATAATGATAAAGAACGTGCAGCATCTCGTGTTAGAGAAGAAGTTGAAAAATATACAAAACGTTTTGGTGATGAAGGATTAACAGCAAGCTTTTTAGAAGATGATATAAAGCCAAGAAACAGTGAAGTAAGTATTGACGAAGGCGAAAAACGATTATTAGAAATGAAAAATGGAATAGATGATGATTGATTGGTTTTTATAACATTTTAATTAACAAAAAATAAAATTTATTAAAAAGAACTTAAAAATTTTATAAAATCTACTATGTTTTCACCAACATTGGGAGAATTAAATTTAATGCAAATTGATTTAAACACTGATATTGTTCGTATGTTTAAAGTAGAAATTCAAAGAATTATTGTTCAAAGTGTTTCATTAGAAATTATATCAAATTTACAAGAATTTCAAAGCAAATTATGTACTCATGACCATTGTAAATGGGTAATGGAGGTTATTGGGTGTGGATTTACCCTCCCTGTTGATGATCATAAAACTATTGCACATTGTATCTCTTTATATGAAGAGTGGTTTATCAATTTACAAAATGTACCAACTCCAATTGAAGAAATGAGAGATCATTATGATAGAATTGCTATGGCCCAACTCACTAATTTATTGTATCAGAGAAGTGGAAGTGCTGAAAGTCTTAATGGATATGCTGAATTATGTTTAAGAGCAATTTCTATTTTAAGAGCTATTGGAACACGATACAAACCTGGAAGTGATATGTCTAGACAGTTAGTATGTTGTTTATTAGGTTGTATGCAAGATGTTTGTGGTAAACAACATGTAAATTCACAAAATGTAATTATTTCTTATATTGCCGAAAAATTAATTCATGCAGTTTATGAGGTTTGGCTTAATTATGGGGAAGCAGATGAAGAATTATGGGGTGTTTTCCAAGAATGTCATAAAGTTTGGGCTAAAACAAAAGAAGTGGCATTAGCATGGGTTGATATAACATTACGCTTACAAAAAACTTTCCTAGCTGCTGTAGAGTCAAAACAAAATGACGTTAATTTAGTACTTACAAATGAAAAAGTACAAATAGATGCTCACTATACTTTAAAATACTTCTTAAAAACATGGATTCGATTTATTCATTTATGTGGTACTCCTGCACAGTTACAAGACGCAGCAGTTGTATTAGTTATTACTGATGGTATTTCATTATTTGTAAAAAATATGATTGAGTGTTATAAAGATGGAAGATATCCAAATGCACCAGACGGAAATACCATAATTAAGTTATTTGGAGAACCACTTGCACAAGTTGTTCTTTGTCTTGATCATATAAGATATGAACTTGCAGTTAATGTTGCTGTAACTACTATAGGAACAGTATTTGGAGTAACTACTGCAAGAACTACATTCAGACCAGAAAATTTGTCAATACTATATGAGGTAATGAGTGAGGCTATATTATCAAGAAATGGAAAGATCATTTTGTCTGGTATTAAAATACTTAACAAACTTCTTTTATTATCATTCCCTTCACAAGAAATTATTTATCCTTCAATTATAAAAGCAGCTGAAAGAATTTCAAATATGGTTGATCCTGGAAGTTTAGATACAAGGACAAGTTGCATTGAATTACTTGGACTAATACATCTTTCATTCTCAAAACAACGACAAGAAATTGCTTGTCATGAAGTTGGAACAGATACTATTTTTTGTTTCAGTAATTTTTCAAAACAGTTTTTAGCTATTTGTGAAGTTTTCTTACAAACAGAAACAAATCCAGTTAATTTGAAAGATATGTTTGTGTTACTTTCTAGATTCTTCAATGATATTGTTCCAAGGGATGGGTCAACTATTGTAGAGCAATTTATTCCAGTTCTTGAAAAAAATATTTATAAATTTGTTGGTGCTTTAGTAGAAAAAAGATTACATGAGTCATTTACTGAAATGATGAGAGTATTAAAAACTGTGTTAGTAGAAGTAGGAGAGCATAAAGTCTTATTAGACTTACTGATGATAATTCATTCATTCATTGAAACATATTATAAATCATCTCCAATTATTGATGATTTCTTACAAGTATATTCAATTTACTTTGGTGCTTGTTATTCATTTATTCAACAAGACACATTGTTAAAAGTTATTGGACTATGTAGTCAGATATGTGCTTGGTTTAATGACCAACAAAAAAGAGCTTCATTAGAGAATTATACTTTCCCTCAGTCATTACTTTCCTCATTACAAATTGATGTTGTTGATTATTTCGAAGAGATGAATGAAGTAATTCTTATGAATGCATATAATGATCATCAAATTCAAGCCTTTGATGAATTTATGAAAATATTTGTTTACAAAGACCAAGCTGTAATTACAGTTGCTGAACTTCCTTGGGAAAAAGGAAGTGCTATTGTTATTATTAGAACAAAATATGGTAAGACCGCTCGTTATGTACACTTAACTCATGATGAAAACAAAAAAACAGTTATTAATGGTGTGTTAACAAAGGGAAATGATGAAATTATGAAAGAAAGTGAAATACCAGTTTCATGGCTTGAAGAATTTAATACAGTTTCATTAGATAAAATAGTTACTGCAGAAAATGCATGCAATAATGTTCCTCATGTAGCTCAAAATGAAGACGTTCTCACTGCATCTGCTCTTTACAATACTAATCTTTGCTGTAAGGCTATTATTTCAAGAACCCTTATAGGGGCACTTGGATTGGTTGATTTATCTGGAGAAAAGCTTCATCCATTAGGTTTAAGTGATGATTTGATCACTAGCTTATTGGAACTGGATGTACTTCCAACAAGAAATTTGATTGGTGTTACTATTCTATACGGTCCTGACTCATCTGAACCATCTCCAATTTATAATTCTGTTATTCGTGGATTAGGACATATTGTTGACCCTCAAACACACAAAGGATTTAGTGGGTTATACGCTGGAGGTGATCAAAAATTCATGTATTATTCAAATGAAGAAGCTGAAATGGTATTCCATATTAATACCCTTGGTGGATTAAATGAAGAAGAGGCTGTTGATGCAGATAACATCGTTGTATTTTGGAATTCTTCTCCATATGACACTGAAATTGAAACTATTGAGGGTAAATTTACTATTATTATTCTTCCAACTCAATCTGATGTTCTCAGAGTTATGACTAATTCTCCTTGTGGTGTTTTAGTTAAAGAACAGCTTGTTTCTCCAGCATCCTTACCAGGACTTATAAGACATGCTGCTTTGAATTATTCAAGACCAGTTTATCTTGCACCAACAACAAATCCAATTTATAAGAGAAGTGAATATATTAGATCATTAAATCTATTTGTTGATGTTCAAAATCCACGAGCAGAAGTTCATTGTCTTTTGTCATCAGAAACAATGCAAAATGTCAATTCATCAAATCTTCAATTTTGTGTTGAGATTGTTAAAACCGAAAAGAAAGAACAAAGAGGCAATTTCCTTACTAGAAAAGCAACTCCAAAGCCAGCAAAAGCTGAACCAACAGATTCTGACACGAAGAAGAAAGGTCATTCATTCAAACTTAGTTTATTTAGCAAGAAAAAGAAAGAAGATAAAGAGAAAGACAAAACAGACAAGAAAGAAAGAAAAGAAAGAGAACTTGAACGTTCTTCAATTAATTAAATTTCTTTTAAAATAAAAAAATAATAAAAGTAAAATGGTTAATAAAAAATTTTTTTTAAAGAGAAAAAAAAATTAAGAAAAAAATAAATTAAACTAAAAAAAATAATTGTAAAATAATGAGTTTATCACCTGGTCTGTCTGATATTAGATATAAACGTCGAACAGTAGCTGACGTTGAAAAGACAGCTCAGCTCAGAAAAATTTTTAATTGTTATGATACTGAATGTGTAAGTGAATTAAATACAGAACAATTAAGAAGATATTTTGCAAAAGAAAAAGGACTATATTTGTCTCAAGAAGATATTAAAAAAATACTTTCTGAAATATTACAATATAACTTTAGATTACCATTTACAGATTTTGCACAACTTAATGACTATATTGAAACTAATAAAAACAGCTTGAAAGAAGTTTGTTTAAAAGACTTTATTTTATTAAACAAAATTTATTAAATGAATAGAAAAGTAATGAAAGAAATCAATGTTCGGTATTATTTGAATCACAACTTCTTGAAGATAAAGATCGAATTCCTTATTTTTCTAATATTTTAAGTCCTAAAGATATAACTTTTGTAACAAAAAAAAGACCAGAACAAAGTCATTTAAAATATATTGAAGGAATCTCATCAATAGAAAATGATTCTGTAGTAAAAATGTTTATAGATATATTATTTGCTGATTTAACTAATGTTGTAATGAAGAAAGTAGTATTTGAACCTCCAAAACCTTTTGAATCACATTATGTTAATTTTGATGGAGATGAAACTATTGCAAATGAAGTCTCAATTTCATTATTAAATAATGATAATTGTATTGAAGATAGAAGAACATTAAGAGAATCATTATTTGATATGGTAAGAACTCAAACTAAATTAAATATTACACCTATTAAACCAATAA